ACGGGTGGAGAAAATGGTTGTCAACACCCTTTTCTAATTAGAAAGACGCAGTCACGACAACAATGGCTGTGTTTCATGCTGCTTCGGAGGTCACATGCTTTACTTAAAATAAACCATGCTACAGTCCTGTCCTCTGGCCTCTGGGCTGTTTCACAGGGTGGATGATGCAACATTCATTTGAGCGTGTCCAATACGCACCAGACCCCTCTGTGTGTCCGCATGGGGAGTGCTTTTGAAGTCTCGAGGGAGGAAGCATTGTAAATTAAGTCCAGTTAGTACTTTATTTTCCTTTCCGTTTATTATTTCAAACAAGTCAATGAGGACAAAAGTTTCACCAGCCTTGGGCAGTCCTGGCATCCTCCTAGATGGCTTTGCTACCCCCATCCCAGCCTGACTCATCCTGGGCCCTTTTCAGGCACCAGAAGTCTGCCCATTGAAGAGTGGGCTGGAAAGGGGAGTACAGGTATGCTAACAGGGCAGCTATGGTGTCTGGAGAATTCACCCCTCCCGCAGTGGGACCACATCCATCACCCCAGCCTGAGCATCCTTTTATATACTTATTTAAAGGTTTAAGATGATAAAGAAGGATGCATTTTTCTGTTTAGATATTTGGAAACCATGGTGAAGGGGCAGTGTGGATACAGCCTTTTAAGTGTGACGTGATGTGTGTATGGGGGAGGGGCATGATTCGTGGAGGAGAATAGAGGAGAGGTATGGAGGGGCTTGGAGACAAGGCTGGTTGACAGAGGCATGATACACCAATACAGGCTTTCTGTAGTGGTCAGTGAGGAGACGGTGGAAGTGTGCTGGGAAGCAGAACACTGTAGCCTAATTCAATGACCTTCTATGCAGTACCCGCTGTAGGCTAGGCATGTGTGCAGACTGGGAGACACCGTTTCCTCAGAGTATCCTTTGTCTGGAAGCGTGACAGGACTGGGCCTGTAATTTCAACATAAGAAGGTAACGCTAGAGCTATAGTTTCATGGTGCGAGGCAAGACAGTGAGAGGAGAGTTAGTGTCCTGTGTATGCTTGAGAGACTTCTGGAGGAGGGACCTCTGAATGGCTTCTTAGAAATGAGGCTTTAACTAGAAGAGGGGCAGAGGAAAGGTGCCTTGGCCGGGGTGATATACTTTCATATAACCAACAGTGTTCAGAAGTAATCAACACATCTAGGCATGAGGTTTCCTGGTTTCAAAGCCCTTCAGCATTCCCATGGCGTTGAAGATGAACTGCTGTCCACTCTGGCCTTTGTCTAGAACCCCACTTGGCTGTGTTCTCTTAGACTGCCTCCTGACTTCTATCCTTTCTGGGGATTTACAGGCAGAGAGGACTCTGTGCATCGTGCACATGCATGCTACCTCCTGGTCCCCTCTGCACATCTCATTTCTCAGGAAGGCCTGTGGGCTACTTCCTCCAAGAGTGCCCCTGACTCTCCTCACACAGGTTCTGTCTAGGATGTCGCATGGCTCTTGGTTCTGTCTTTCTCCTTGCTCAGCACGCTGCTTTCCAGTTGTCTCTTATGACTCTGCTTGCCCTGGCTGCAGAACACAGCTCCTAAAGGGCCTTGTTCCTCACATCGTTGGTTATTTTGTAGACGTGGTGAGTGATTAGACATCCATGTGATGTTTTGGTGACTTCCCTTGTTGCTGTGACAAAACACTGTGCTCGGCCCGTGGAGTGGAGCCTCGCACATTTAGGATGGGTCTTCCTGCCTCAGTCTCACTGGGGATTTGAGGGCTCCTCAAAGCTGTGTGCATGTCTTCTGGGAGATTCTAGATGCTATCGAGTTGAAAAATCAGCATTAAGAGGCCCCTCCTGTGAGTCAGGAGTCTTTCCTCCTCATTGTAGAAAACCCACCTCTTCTCTGAGGCTGCCCCTTCCCTTCCTTTCTCCCTCCCGTTTTCCTAGTTTCCTCTGGTGTAGTATTCTCAGAGTCCCTTGCAAGCCATGGTTATATTTGATTTTCTGATCCCTTCGCCCAGTAGGGATGTGGATCTATTTGCATCCATGTGAGGGATGAAGGAGCAGACCTTTAGGTAGGTGAGGTTTCTGATGGCACACAGCTGGTAAGTGGCAGAACCAGGGACAAACCCAAGTCTGCTCTTGAGTGCTCAGCTACCATTCTATGGGACTTTAGAAAGGTTCACGATGCTTTGCTTGCTAGATAAATGTGGGATGTATGGGTTAGTATGAATGAGTGATAAATCCTTGGTTCCCTGGCTCCCATAACTTGGAGTTTCCAGTTTGATTTGAAGGAAAATTTACTGGCTGTACAATGGGTGACTTTTATCTCCCAGAAGGCAAAGCAAAGCTAGCTGGCTGCAGGACCATGACTTGCTGTTTTAGCCTCTAGTCAACTTTAATAGACCATTGTCACTGGTTGGGATCTTCAGTGAATGTAGGTCTTGGTGTTTGCAAAGCACAGGGTAGTCGTTTTGAAAAGTCACTCCACAAAAAAGGAAAAAGCAAACTGTCTTTTAGGCCAAACCTAGTAATGGACAGTTGGGCCAGATGTTACGACTGAATGAGTAAATGAGATAAAATACTTTGCTAAGAGGGTTGGGTGCTACAGGAATGCTGCCGTCTTTCTTTGAATGCATCACGTGTTCTTTTGTGTCATGATTTTTATCTTCTGGCTTCATCTCCCCTGCCCCTGTCCACTTACACTCCAGAACATCTCGGAGCTCGTTCACTGAACACAGCTATGCTAGCAGTAAAGAGGAAACTCCTCATTGAGCTTGTGTCAGTGCTTAGACCTGGGAGTTTCCTGTGGGATTTCATCGTTAAACATTTCCCTGTGTGTGGGACTGTGTGATATCGCTTTAATAGATGTTGCCTAGTGACCTGAGTCTGATCTCTGGTACCCATGTGGAGGTGGAAGGAGAGAACCAGCTTCCAAAAGTTATCTCTGACCTCTACACATGCAGCATAGAACTCATGTACCCCCCCCACACACATACACACACATACAGACACATACACACACACACACATACACACACATACACATACACACACATACACACACACATATACACACATACACACACATACATACACACACATACACACACACATATATACACACATACACACACATACACACACACATACACACACATATACATACATACACACAAAAACACACACACACACATACACACACATACAGACACACACATACACACACACATATATACACACACATACACACACATACAGACACATACAGACACATACACACACACACACACACACACTATCTCTTTTGTAATAAAGGATAATGAAAGTGTCATTAAAGTACCCCATCTATTGTATCATCCAGGTCATTGCTCTGTTGTGTTGTGTGCCCCACTAAAAGAAGCACTCATCTATAAAGCAGACTTTACACACACACACACACACACACATATGCACGCACGCACATACACAAAGATAAGTTATCTTAAATCTTTGCTATCTGTCTAGGGAAGATAGTAGGTAGCTGAAGATGACCTTAAACAACTGATTTTTGCCTATGCTTTCTAAATGCTGGGGGATGGGCACACATCGTGATGCCTAACTTGTGATCCAGCCCCAGGGCTTTGGGAATGTGAGTAAGTTCTACCCACTGAGCTGCATCCCCAGAACTGAGCCACGCCCCCAGACCTGATCTGCACCCCCAGTACTGAGCTGCACTCCCAGAACTTGTGTTGCATTTGTTTCATACAGAAATTTTCATGTTGAACTTGTAAGAGGGGGATGAAGAGAACTTAGAAGAAGTCTGGAGAACACCCCAAATTTGTAATTTTTGGAAAAGACCAGATGGAGGATGGTGCTCAAAGCTGGAAATCTTTCTAATGCTTGTTTATTCAGAGTGGATGACTGATGTAGGGGATTTTTGTCTGGTTCTCTGTGGATGCTAAATAACACAGCCAATAGGAGATGCCATTGGTGTTGAGGAAGTCTGTAGTCCTTCATAGAGCCCACTGTCCAGTGGTCACAGTAGGCTATATGGAGGTGGCCACCAGGGCCTGAGGAATGTCAGCTTCCCGCCCTGCTCTGAGCCGTATGTTATCCACCCCCCGTGCCTCGTTCTGCTTGTTGATCTGCATGCAAGTGGAGGTCACATTTTATATAAAACTATAGTTGTGATGTCTTGGGAAGACAGGAGAGAAGTCCCTAGACAAATACCATTTGATGGCATTTCTTTGCCAGCTCAAGACTGTCTTGAGGAAATACATGGCAACTTCTGTTGTATAAATATCTGCTGCTGCTTTAATTGTTTTCAGATGTACAGGTGATTGTCATTCCCCCAGACACTGAATAGCAGCAAGTGCTGAATGTCTGTCCTGTCTCTGCGGTGCACTTGCTTGTCATTGATTTGGAATGTCAGGTCCCTGCCACCACACATGCTGTGCTTGTCTGTGTGCACTCATCCAGTAGGACAGCGGTTCTCAGCCTCCCTAATGCTGTGACCCTTTAATACAGTTCCTCACGTTGGAGTGACACCCCCAAGCATAACATTATTTCATTGCTACTTCATAACTGTAATTTCACTAATGTTAGGAATCATAATGCAAATATCTGGTGTGCATGCAAGGTATTTGATATGTGACACCCTAAGGGGTCATCCCCCACAGGAGAGGACCTGGGGGTACAAATGGTAAGAGACATGTAACAGGCGGGGGGGGGGGTCATGTGTTTCTCTTTACATCCCATGGTGAGTCAGCATTGTTGCTCTGTAACTATCATGCACTTTGGGATGTCACTCTGTTGTCACCCCCAGCTGCCTTTGATCTTGGCAGTCCTGATGAAGTATATCCAAGGGTCTGTATGTGTACCTAGTAAGTTCTAGTAGGGAGGGTGTCATGTGTGGGGAACTGCAGATTGAAACCACAGAGCTCCAGCTGCTCGTGATTTTTCCTTGAGGGCTGTGTAAGGAATTGCATTTGCAGTTAGAGCCGCACAGACTTGCAGCTAAGGTCGAGCTCATCTCTCTCTCTTCTCACTGTTTAAGATCCGTCAGTGGGAGCAGAATCTGGAAAAATTTCACATGGACCTGTTCCGCATGCGTTGCTATTTGGCGAGCTTACAAGGCGGGGAGTTACCAAATCCCAAAAGTCTCCTTGCTGCCACCAGCCGCCCCTCCAAGCTGGCTCTTGGCAGGCTGGGTGTCCTGTCTGTTTCGTCTTTCCATGCTCTGGTAAGTTCCTGGGGAAGCCTGGGTCAGTGGGTTACCCCTTTCTGCAGCTGGCTAATGCCTCTGTTGGAAGTTAACCTAGTAACAGACAAGGGTCACCAGAAGCTGGGTACTGGGGACCAGCAGAGGAGACTGCAGTTTCCAGTTTCTCAGATGCTTATTCTAGGAGTCTAGCTGTTGGTTGGAAGTTACTCCATATTCTTACCTGCCTGTCTATCCCTCCTCGTACTCTTGCAAAGGTGAAGGTCCCTGAGTAGTGGTCTTACTGGGTAAAGAAGAAAAAGATGGATTAAATGTTGCTTAACCTGGGGCTGAGGTGATAGTTCAGTGAGTAAAGTGGTTTCCTTGTAAGTGTGAAGACCTGGGTTTTATCCCTAGAACCTGTTCTTGGAGACCTCCAGGTAAATAAAAACCTATCTCCAAAAAGCAGAATTGAAAAAAAAAATAGAAAAAGGAAAAAAAAAATATGGAGGACGAGGGAGATGGCTCAGTAGTTAGAGCAAGAAGAAAGGTGTTCTGATGTGTATCCCTGCAAATGGTGGGAGGCCCTGGCTACCCACCTGTAATTCTAGCCTTTCGAAGGTGGAGATAGGATCCCTAAGCTGAGCAAGTTGGCTAGCCAGGTTAGTGGTACCAATGAATTCTGAGTTTGATTGATATTCTGTGTCTCAAAGAACAAAGTGGAAGAGGGATTGGGGAAGATTCCTGTTGTCAACTTCAGGCCTCTCCTGTGCACACACACATGCATTTGTGTATTCACACATATGAACATGCATATACACAGGCGCAGTCACCATATACACATAAAAAGGAGAAAAAAAAGGAAAAGAATAAACAAGGTGGATGGTGCCTGAGGAGTGACCTTCAAAGTCAACCTTTCGAGTCAACATACACTTGCAGACACAGGTACACATACACAAACACAATGCTTAGATCATGGTTGCTTAGCCTGTAGTGCTGGGAGCCCCATGGGTAGGGTCTGAACTTGCTTCTGGCCTTTTGCATTGAACTGGCTCATCTTGAAGAGTTCAGAATGGTTTTGCTGACTCTTCTGCCTCTCTAGGCCCATCTGAATGTTGGCTTGTGCTATCTAGGTAAGGCCTCTGTGGAGGCTGATTTCTGTTTTGTGAACTACGTAGCTGACTCAAACACTGTCCGAACACACTTACAGCCAGGCTGGTGTCTCTACAGTACAGATATTTTGATGAGCTTTAAGATGTTTTTCAATTGTGTTTTCCTTTAGGTATGTTCCAGAGATGACTCTGCTTTCAGGAAAAGAACACTTTCTCTTACCCAGAGAGGAAAAAGCAAGAAAGGCATATTTTCTTCATTGAAAGGTCTGGATACCCTAGCAAGGAAAGGCAGGGAGAAAAGAGCATCTATAACTCAGGTGAGTTCTTGATATGGGAGGAACAAGAGGCCGGGTGACATTTTTGACACCTCCATTTCTACTTCCATGTTTAGTTACTTGCAAGAAGTAGCTATTTGTTGATTATAGGTAGGGGTTAACTATAGTCCATTGGCAAATACTGGACCTACATTTTCTAAATGGAACTGCCATAATTATGTTCTGTATATAAATGACAAGGTCAGTTTTTTTATATTAATCAAGATGACTTCATGTAATTAAAGTGATAAAGTGATAGATAGCAGGATAACTTGCTTATTTTTAGAAGTACCATTTAGCTAATTAAATGAGCCTTACTGTCTGCCTCAGCGTATCTGCTAAATGTTCTCAACAAAGGATTTCTTGATAAACAAAAGCATTTGGTTGAACATTTTTGTTTTAAAAAAGATTCGAAGTCAGTACTTACACAGCTGAGTGAAGTTGGTTTATTAGATATTCCTAGTTGAATGTTTAATGTTAGTATTCTACAAAATTTAGAAGATAAGATTTACAAAAGTAAAAAAGAATGATTCCTAGTCTTTTTGGCTTCAAACAAGTGGCTATTAGCATATTGTCTTACAATATTTATTTTAAGCACATTAAAAACAGTAATAAGATTGATTTTGTGACTTTGTCAACTTTGTTCCTCATCTTCTGAAATACATAATTAGTTTTTTAAAAAAAGCAATGTCAAGAAAATTCAAGATGACTTGAATACTGTGAAATATCACAGAAAAGTAAGCATGGAACTATGGCAGGAAATAAAGCATATTTCTCTGCGGAGGGAAAGCTTCATATTTGAATATTAGCACAGACTGTGAAATGGAGATATGATAAAATGTTATAAAACTTCAATCTTTAAACTAAAAACGTGTGGATGCCAAGGAACACTGCAGAACCATTTCATTAGTCTTTTTTCTTTCTGCTCTCTGTCAGATGTTTGATTCGAGCCATGGATTTCTTGGAACTCAGCTACCTCAAAACACCACTAACTCCAGCGAGGTAAACATGGCGGGACAGGGCAGCCATCTTGGAAGCCATCTTGGCAGCCATCTTGATTTATGTTGACTAAGTTGAGGAATGCTGGTTTAGAGTCTTCCCATGGATCTATTAAAAGACAAGTTTAGAATTAAAATGATCCTACTAAGTAAGCTAAGAGGTGTTCCTTGAATGCTAAGAATTTTTGGAGGCTTTTAAACTTACAACATCACTACCTTTAAAATTAGTACCTTGCCAGAACTCATCTTTGGTGTAGGCTTACCTGTTCCTAGAAGTTCCCAACCTTCCTTTGAATATTAGTGAATATCAAGTTACAGCTTCCTCCATGACTTTCAGTGTCTCTACCCAGATGCTTCTTTAGGCATCCTCAGTGGGGTTGAGCAATGTTCTTTCTCTGGTCTCTAGGGTTGCTTCTGTTTCTGAGATCAGGAGTATAGTCAGGAGTGGGTGCACTACTTGGGTATGCTTATAGTTATATTTTGTGCTTTCTCCAAACTCCTCCTATCCTTCTCACAAAGTGGTGGTTCCTATTAGTAGTCAGTTTTTCCACCTTTCTCTCCATTAGATTGCTTTATCTTTAATTTTATTTCTAACAGACATCTGAGCTACTCATCAAAGGTAAAAGGTCAGTAGTGGGCCTGAAGAGATGGGGTTCAGAGGTTAAGAATATCTACTGTTATTCAATAGGCTCCAAGTTAATTTTCTAGCACCGTATGGTGGCTAACAACCACCTATAACTGTTCGAGTTCCAGAAGAATTTGATGTTCTCTTTTAGCATCTGAGGGCACCAGTCACATGTGTGGTTTGTAGATACACATGCAGGCAAAACACCCTTACATATAACATAATAAAATAATTTAAAAACACTGATAATAGGGCTGAAGAGATGGCTCAACATTTATAAGAATTTGGTGCTCCTACAGTGGACCTGAGTTTGGTTCCCAGAACCTACATGGCAGCTCACAACTGCCTATAACTTCAGCTCCAGGAGACCCTGGTGTTCTCTCCTGACCTCCCTGGGCACCTGCATACAAATGGCATGTACACATGCACACTCTCTCAGACCAACATAAATTAAAAAAAATCATTAAAATAAGAAAGCCTGATAATGATCAACATAGACAAATCGACTCAGTCAAAACTACCCAACACATTAATGGAAATAATTTGAAAAGTTTGAAGTTTAGTTTGAAAAAAAATCTGAGTTAGACACTGCCCGTTGCTTTGGGAGGGAGTGGGGTACTCTCTGGTGATATAAAATACTCAGTATAGATATGGATGTGTTCTGCCTCCTTATGAAGCTGGGTACAGTCTCTGTGGTGTGCCATTGTTGTTGCTAACACTGTTCCTCCTGCATGGCATCTCAGCCTCAGGTACCCCACCCCCTGTAGGATGAGTGTGAATGAGTTGGAGAGTCTGGAATTATGTTTCTTCTTACCTACAACCTCTCAGGACCATGGTTGCCAAGAGCAGGTTGTGGATTTGGGTAGCTTGAGCCAGGAATCTCCTGTTTTGTGCTCTTTTTGCTAAAGTTCATAAACCATGGGTAGACAGAAAAGCTTCATCTAATTTTTCTTTTTTATAAAAGATGCTATCTAAGTGAGCACTGTTTTATAAGAAATGCTGTCTATTTCCTGCCCTGTGGCCTCTGTATATTTGCAGAGCTGATTTAAAACCCTGTTAGATCATACTGTTGTTGGAGAACGGGACATAATCCTGTGGTTGATATGTCACCAAGATTTACTATATTCTTACTGTGTCCTGCTTTGTCCTATTAAGTTATGTGTGTGTGCATGTGTGAGTATGTATATGTGAGTGTGGGTAAGTGGGAGAGTATGTGAGTATTTGTATGTGTGTGTGTGTGAAAGTATATGAATATGTGTATTTGAGTGTGAGAGAATGTGTGAGAGTGTTTTGTAAGGGTGTGAGAGAATGTGTGAGCGTGTATGTGTGAGAGACTGTGTGTGTGAGTGTGAGAATGTGTGTGAGTTAGTGTGTGTTTGTGTGAGTGTTTGAGTGTGAGAGTGAGTGTGTATATAAGTCTGAGTATATGTGCATATGAGTGTGTGTATATGAGTGTGAGAGAATGTGTGAGAGTGTTGTGTGAGGGTGTGAGAGAGTGTGTGTGTGTGTATGTGACTGTGAGAGTGTGTATGAATTAGTGTGTTTGTGTGAGTGTGTGAGTGTGTGAGAGTGAATGTGTGTATAACTGTGAGAGTGTATATTTGTATATGAGTGTGTGTGTGAGTTAGTGTGTGTATAAGTGTGTGTATGTATGAGTGTATGGGTATGCGCATGTGAATGTGAGAGTGTGTGTGAATGTGTGTGCACATGTGAGAGTGTATGTGTGTATATGAGTGTGTGTGTGAGTGTGAGAGTCTTTGAGTATGTGTTAGTCTGTTTGTATGAGTGTGTGTGAGTGTATGAGTGTGTGTATGTGAGTGTGTATGTGTGTATATGTGCATGAATGTGTGTGTGTGACTGTGTGTGTTGTTTTGAAAAGCTTTTCACAAGCCTTGGCTCTGCAGTGTAAGTGTTCCTGTGTATTCAACATTATGATACTCAGTGTTTAATAATCATTTGTATTAGCTGTAGTCCTTTAATGGCTCAGAAGCCTTGGTCTATGATACAATCCCAGTGTTTTAAGATTGCATCTCTTTAAACATTGTATAACAAAGAAAGCTCTTATTTTAAAAGTTTAAGGAATGAGGTCATCAGAGCATTATTAAGACTCATGGCAGGCTTTGAGAGGAAATTCTGCTAAAATAATCATTGATGACAAAGGTCAGTGCTTAGTTAAATCAGGTTCAGGTCCACATATTCCAGTTGAATCCTCAAGTTCCACCAAAGCTAGCAAAGACATCTCCAAGCTGTCTGCCTCTCCATTAAGGATGAAACCCTGTGTAGGGATACAGGAGACTTTCCATCTCTGTGTTGGCTGCTTTAGTGGCACATCTTTCTGTTCTGTCACAGAACACAGGTCTAGGTTCAAATCAAACTGCAGCTTAAAGTAAAAGAGGATCTTTTTTTTTTTTTTAAATACCCCTTTGGCTGAAGTTCTGGTTGTGGCTGGTTGAATAATTACAATTACCATTCACTGGTTGTCTTGTGCTAATCACGGAGGATATTTGCAGCACACAAACCATCTGTTTTTATACAGTAAGTACATTATGTGCACTGGAGTCACACAGAAAGGCCGTTGTGAGGGAGGAGCTGAGCCCCTTTTTAAATAGCCCACCATAATTGGTACATCCTGTAAGGGTCTTGCAGTGAGTCACCCTAATTGGAAGTCTGCTAGCGCTGGAGAAGAGCCAGGCTTCTTGGAGCATTTTTTAAAGGACACCTTGGCTAGCCCCAAATGAGAGCTTTTCAGAGCCTCCTTGATGAGTAATAACGAGTTTCAGACAGTGTTTGGCAGGGAGGTGTTTGTTATGGAGACATGTCAACAAATCTCCCACTGAGCTAGGGTGGCAGCTGCCCCAGAAAGCCGCAGCAGCCTGGCAACCCCTGGCCTCGGCCTCTGCTCCTGTAAAACTGTCTGGGGTGTCCTGACTTTGTGTGGCAGTGAGTGAATGAAGTATTGTCACATTGCTAGCTACAGACTGGGGTGTGGGGGTGGGGTGTGGGGGTGGGGGGTGTTGGGCACCCTGGTGTCGGTTTCTCAAATGGAAAATGTGAACGAAACAACCAACTGTTGACCACGGCAATGTCTGTTTAAATAGAATGCTAGTCTGGAACCTTCCACAGAACATGCACATGTGCGTCTATAGACAGTGTCCATGTTTGTCTCTTTCCGTACACATAGCTGGCCAGTCAGGTCTTTGTTTTTCCTTCCTAACCACTGGTGTCTGGGCATCTGCCCAAGAAGGAAATAAACACTACATCCTCCGTGATACGGAGCTGTCAAGAGAAGCCAGAGCGCATGGTTTCCTTTGTGCCGTGGCCGTCCCCTCATCTCACTTGCTAATAGACTCTCCTTTTATCAGCAACAGGGGTGGTGTGGGCCCTGCTTTTTGACAGACACTGTGATTTCGCTACTCATGTCGCTACAATGATCCAGGCAGTAATTATAAGCCACTGGACCCAAAAGCATCTGCTGCGAGAATGCACAGGGTTACCATTCTCACTCTGTGTGTGACATACTGAGCCTAAGTAATTAGACATGTGGTTTCAGGACCATTAGTGCGATGATGATGATGATGATGATGATGATGATGATGAAGAGTCACAAGTGTAGAAGTTACTCTACCAGGATAACCAGCTTGCTTTGCATTTGCATTTGGTGTGGCTGGGGTTGGCGTTCACTGGTGCTTTGGGTTCCTAGATGGCCAGCAGGAGTTGGGCTGTGAGGAGACAGCACTACACCCCACCCGAGGTTCCCCAAGGTTTTGGAACAAGGAATAATTCTCACACAGTTCTGGATAGTGTCTGTCACTGAACTGTGGGGTTTACGCAGGTATGGTGCTCAGACTTTGTCCAAGGTCACTGAAGGTTTTTAGTTCATCTCCCAAATTGCGTTCCTCATGGGGTGACCTTGTGAAGCTGGTTATTTGTGGTGCTTGCCTGGAAGGGGAGGGAGGTGTTGAGACAGTAGGCTGTCGAAGGGTAGCAAGGCAAGAGATTTGACCTAGACCCGTTTGGCTTCTTTTCTTTGTGTTCTCCAGGACCTGAGAACCTTGAACAGGGCTTTGGAAATGATCTTTTGGCTGGAAGGAAGCAGGTTAGAGCAGGGGAGGGCAAGTAGGCCATGCACCACTCTTGTCCTTAGCCAGCTATGGACCTGTTCATGAGTCCTTTTAAAAGCACCTTTGAGAAGGGTGTGTGGGAAGGAATTTTCCATATGTCCCATTTGTGTGGAGACCTGACTTCGGGTGTCAGAGCTCTTCCATACCATAAGGCTTAGTTGTGTATGCTTGAAGTTCATTAGAACTTCTGCACCCCATTTCTCTCACCTGACAAGTAAAGGGTAATGATCTACCTGCGAGGGGGTGTGAGTAAATTGGTAGCAGGGTAGGAGTTTATTTTATGTGAAGAAATCTCCCCCTGATGGACAGCTAGGGATGAGAAAGGGCGAGATGCCGCAGCGTGGCATGGATTTGAATTTCCTCAGTCTCTGCTCAACTCATCCTCTTGAAGGACAATAGGAAGTTGCTGAGATGTTGTCTCTTTCTGTGGCCTTCCTTTTGATGTTCCTTACTCCACAGTGACCTCTGCTGGGCTTTCCGTTTGATTTCTCAAAATGCATCAAGAGGAGAGCCTTAAGCAACTTAATTAGGACAGCGTCCGCTCTTACCTGGTGACTGGATAGAACCACTGCCAAAGTGACCAAAGTGCCCAGGGGAAATGAGCCAGAGAAAGCCCTTACTCACGTGGCAGGTCTGCGTAGGAGAGAGCATCCCAGCCTGGTGTGCTAGGCTCAAGGCGTATGCCCCTGTCTCTTCCTTTATTCCTCATGTGAGGGGAAGTTGGCTGTGAAGATCTTTCTAGGAAACTGTGCTGACCTCAGCAGATGCAGGACAAATCAGTTATGCCACTTCAGAGCTGAACGTTGCATTTCCAAAGACAGAGAGGCGGATCCTTCCCCTTTTCTGCCCAGGCCTGTTCTTCGGAATGTCTTTATCACATCAAGTTTGCCTTTGCAGTTACTTTGTGTTTGAAGAAATGCGTGGGGTGGACAGTGAGACAACCCATCAGAGTGCTTGCTTTGAGGTTTGAGTTGTTTGCAGCATCGTGAGAGCGCTGAACCTACGTGGCCATCATGCCTTCTGGCCTATAACGCGTCTTTGTGTTTGTGGGTGGGCTCCTTTGCTCACAAACACTCGTCCTGTTAATTAAGAAATATCAATAATGAGAACAATGCTTCCCTTTCGCAGAGTGGTAAACTGAGGCTGGGCAAGTTGAATTTTGTTTGTCTGTTTTGAGACAGAATCTCACTATTTTCCCCCGGGGATGCTATTGTCTAGCTAAGTAGCAGCGTTGGAGTTAGGGTCACCGTAGTGTTCTCTCAAGGATCTAACTTGAGGAAATGTTTGAGTTGCTTAGTGTAGCCGCCTGCGGCCACGAGTTGAATGGGTTCACTTGAAAAGAGGGCTGGGAACGAAAGGGGGATGGAGAGCGAGAAAAATGAAGCCAAGACAAAAGTTCTCTGATCAAGCTCAACGGTTTAACTTAAGCTTTCAATTTAAAGGGGAAGACCCCGCCTGAACCCTTCCTAGTTTCAGCCGGGAGAGTTGGGTGGGATAATCCGTTTTTGGTCTCGGGTCACGGCAGGAGATGTCTCAAGGCAAGCCCAGGGGCAGTTCTTTCAAGTTCCTGTAGCAGGCTGTACATGCAGCCAAGGTGGGTGACTCCACCTAGGTGTCTATTGATATGCAGCCAAGGTGGTTAGTTCCACCTAGGTCCTATTATCTGGTCTCTTGTGGTAAACCAGGTCTCGGGCCTGCTCGAGGCTGGAGGAAGGGCACAGCTTAGTATATAAGTAGGTTAACACGAAGGTGACTAGCTTCGGTGGTGAGGTAGCTTCGGTGGTGAGGTTTACGGAAGTGTTTTTGGGAAAAGCTCCTGAAGGTGGTACACTTGAGGATGATTTCCTGACAGAGCGGCCATGTCTGACATAGCTGAAAGATGGAGAAAGGTTGTCCTCTTTATTAGAAGTTAGATTCTAAAAGTTTAAACAGGAGACAAGAGAATCACGCTTGTGGAACGTTGAATTTACAGCTGAGCGAGGGCACAGACAGACGGAGGCCGATTGCTGTGGATGAGACCCTTTGGAAGCTGGGAAGGGACTAAGGGTTAGATGTACATTTCCCAGTGGCCCTTCTCCATCAGGACCCTGCGTGGTGTGAGGGGCAAGTGTGGGACTCGTGCAAAACTTATAGTACTAACTGTGTGCATTAAAGGAACATTTCCCCCCTGTGGTTTCTACTTTTGCTTACCCAGCCTGTCTACATTTTCTGTCCGCACACAGGTCCATGGCCTGCATCTGTATGGCTCTGCGGTAGACAGCGCTCTCCGAGACAGCACGTGGGAGGTCCAGACTTATGTCCACTTCCAGGATAACGAAGGAGTCACTGTGATCATCAAGCCAGAGCACAGAGTGGAAGATGTTCTGGCTTTGGCGTGCAAGGTGATGAATGTTGCCATAGCAATGCATGCTTCTGAGTAAAGAGGGTTTGTTAATGGTGCATTCCTTTGCATTTGGTTTTATGGGGGGTGTTTAAGACCCAACTTTCTACACAGGGGAACATGCTGACGTTTTCTAGCTAGTGTGTTAACTCTCTACCCTTCAGAAGAATGAGTCCTCAGGTCATGGTCGCACGCTTCCTTGAAGACCCTGAATTATGCCACCATCAACTTTGTGTCTAGAGTCATCCTGACATCTGTGGCCGTTCACTTTATATAGAGATGAGGTAGCTTGGTGTGCATTAAGTATATAACTCATTACCACTCACAACTGCTTTATGGATACTCATATGAGTTCTGGTTCTTCATTCTTCCAACCGGACTTGATTTCCAGTGAAGGAGCTGAAAGGGTTTGTGGCACCATGAGGAGAGCAACAATACCAACCAACCAGAGCTCCCAGGGTCTAAACCACCAGCCTGAGAGCACTTAGGGAGGGATCCATGGCCCCAGCAGTATATGTAAGGGAGGATGGCCCTGTCGAGCATAGCTGGGAGAGGAGATCCTTGGTCTCATGAAGGCTGGACACCGTGTATGGGGGAATTCGAGGGTGGGGAGGTGAAAGGGAGAGTAGGTATCCACAGATGTGGTTAGACATCCACAGAGAAGCAGGAGGAGGGGGGATGGCATAGGGGTTCCTGGGCGAGAGAGAGAGAGAGAGAGAGAGAGAGAGAGAGAGAGAGAGAGAGAGAGAGAGAGAGAAAGTATAGGATAAATCCATTCAGCACCAACATGCCTAGTACTTTCTAACCACCAGGTGGCAGAGTAGAGCCAAAAGCGCTAAGTACTCTGGACTAGAGTCTGCTGACTTTCATGGTAGACACGGGGAGGGTATTTTAACTCTCTTTTTTACTTGGCCTTAAGGCTTTGGTGTTCCCTGCGTTTGCATATGTAATTATCTTTAAAAACTTAACCTTGTCTCCCAAGCCCAGTATGTAAGCCTTTTATTCAGAAAAGCTTCAATGTTGATCTGTATAGATGATAAAAATATAGTGATAAGCTTTCTGAGTATTAAAAGGTGTTGGGGGGGGCAGAAGGTCAGCTGAATCCTGTTTGGTGCACAGGCTTGAAAGAAATGCTTTTCTGTCGAAAGCGTTGGGAAGGAAGAAAAGATGCAAGTGAGGGAAAGAGGAGGCACAAACACACACACACACACACACACACACACACACACACACAGGGCAGGGGCAGGGATTAGAATATACCTGCACTTAAACATTTTCCCTTTGAAAATACTTTGAAGTATGAAATTCTGGAGTCTGTATAACTTAAAAATCTCTCTATTTTCCTAATGACAAACAACTTTAAGTTAGCAACCAGCATAAGACAGAGAGCTAGCTGTCTGAAGGAAGATGGGTTGTGTGATAAAATGTATCACTTCCTAGCTGTGAACCTTGTACTTCGTGGTGACTGTATCTAGAGGAAATTTTAACAGTGAATTTTGACCTTTCCTTTTCTCGTTTGCATATTTACATTTCAGTTTTTCTGTAGTTCTAGACTGAGAAAATTATATACAGTTGTTTTTCGGGACTTCAATAGGAATCTGTCCCGAGCCTCCTGAATGCTGTTTTTAGGACAGGGCAGTTAGACTCCGAGTAACCAGTCATTTCTTTTGCAGATGAGACAGTTGGAACCCACTCACTATGGTCTTCAGCTCCGGAAGGTGGTTGACGAAAATGTCGAGTGGTGTGTGCCCGCGCTGTATGAATACATGCAAGAGCAGGCAAGTGCATGCTGGAGGGAGAGAGGGGCTGTCCATCCATACCCATGCCCAACCTTACATAGCCCAGGCTGGCCTTGAACTCTGGACTTGAGGATGATTTTGAAATTCTGATCCTCCTGCCTCCACATCTCATGTGTTGGGAATACAAGTGTACCATCTGTGTGATGCTGGGGGTCAGACCTGGGACCACACATCCTAAGTGGGCACTCTGCCAGCTCAGCGCTTTCTTTAGGCCTCTGTGTGGTCTCTTAATTTTGGGGACTGTAATTGGGAGCAAACTGTTCAGGTTTGGCATTTGGTTTGTAAACAGCCTTCACATAAACAGTATTGTAAGTTTCCTATGGAAAAGTGTGTCGATATAATTCTGCAAGGTTGTGTAGTGTTAACCCTCCTGATTCTCCTGCTTTCCCTTTGTTAGATTTATGATGAAATTGAAGTTTTCCCACTCAGTGTGTACGACGTGCAGCTAACCAAGACTGGGGACATGACTGACTTTGGTGAGTGTCAGGAGCCCTTGGAGACCGGTGCTCACCTTGCCCTTGATCCCTCTCTCTCTTTTTTCATTGTTATTTATTTTAGTAGGATGGGCTGGTATGTATCAATACTGAGAGAGATGGCAAAGCAATTTCAGGAGATAACCTTAAAGTTGGTAAGGCATGTGACATTCTGGGGACAGTGCTAGCAATAAATTAACTGTACCTGGTACTACTCTCAACTGGTTCACCCAGGAGCCAGACAAGGCTTCTTCTCTGATCCATTTGTTGATTGAGATTTAAACTTATGTGTATATGCCATTTGTGCAGTGCCCAAGGAGGCCAGAAGAGGGCGTCTGATCATCTGGGGCTGGAGGTACAAGCTGTTGTGAGCTGCCCAACTTGCATGCTGGGAACAGAATGCAGGTCATCTGGAGGGCAGCAAGCGATCTTAACCCCTGAGCCATCTCTCCAGCCCCAGGAGACTTCTTTTTTTATGTCTGGAATCTTACCAACCTGGAATGCTGTCCTTTGTCAGACCGTTCTCCCAGGATAGGAATCTTACCCGCTCTTTAAGACCACATGGACAGTCTAACTGGAATAAGCTTGATCTTTTGACTTTATCTCCTTCTGATCTGAGTTTAACGATTACAGGTCAGCATCAGTATTTAGCTCTTATTTCCATTGGTTTTTATTGAATCTCTGCTCCAAGGTCTTTGTAGACTTTGCTCATGTCTCCCCGTGCACTGCAGACTTTGCCTTTACCTCTAGAAGTCAGTAATCAGAGAAGGCCAAAGAATACTTCCACGGAAAGGCTGTTTCTGTCATGTTACAAATGTAGCCACAACATGGATATTTGCTTCAGAATATTTCAAGTTGATAATACGCTCAAACTATGGCATCTTAAAATTTTATTCTCTAGACCCTTCTGTTGATCGTGTGGTCAGGGTTGTTGGTTGATTTTGAGGTGGAGTCTTACTTTGTTGTCTGCACTGGCCTGGGATTCCAGGATATCCTCAAAGCTTTTAGTGATCCTCCTGCTTCAGCTTCCCAAATGCTAAGTTTAAGTGAGAATCCCTATGTCCACTGTAGGCTGGGGTTGGTCAGTTGTAAGTTGGCTTCGTGTGGAAACCCTCTTAGCCTTTTGTCTGCTTCCGTGGCTGCCATGAGCAAGTCGTCCCATCTGAGTGAGTGAGTTTAGGCATGGGTTCTTTTGTCATGGTTGGCCAGGTGGTATTTAAGGCTTAGAAAGGACATGGGGAAAGAGAACCTCTTCCTTCTTCTCTGGGAACTGATAGCATTGGGGAACCCAGATGTATAAGTATGGGCCCCACCATGCCAGTGCCCAAGGGAACATGTGGTCCAAGCAGGACATGTGCTGGGTCTTGCATCTCAGACCCATATAAAGCACTGAATCCATTCAGGCAGATTTTCCACCGTGTGCGTGTGCGTGTGCGTGTGCGTGTGTGTGTATGTGTGTGTGTGAGTGTGTGTGTATGTATGTGTGTGTATGTGTGTATGTGTGTGTGTGTGTGTATGTGTGTGTGTATGTGTGTGTGAGTGTGTATTTGTATGAGTGTGTGCATGTATGTGTATGTATGTGTGAGTGTGTGTGTGTATTTGTATGAGTGTGTGCATGTGTGTGTATATGTGTGTGAGTGTGTGTGTATTTGTATGAGTGTGTGCATGTGTGTGGGTTTATATGTTTGTGACCTGCAATCTTCTAAGCCTTGTTGAGCCTCAATCTCCTGTAGGATTGCTCACATACTAGGGCTTGTGCTATGCATCTGGCTTTTAACATGGATTCCAGGGATTTGAACTCTGATCTTTATGCTTGAGTAGCACATGCTGTGTTTACCAAGCCATCGCTCAACCCTTGCCTTCAACCGTCTTAGAACACCTCACTCTGCTTCAGGAAGAGTATCTTTTAGTCTTAACTTAAAAAATGGAGCATCATTTTAACCATAGTGAGAGAGAAGTAAATTCTCCTCACCCTTAATCTGTGGCAGCCAAGGATCTTTGTGTCTGTCGGTGAGTCACCCTTACCATCCCTTTCCAGCTCCCTTTTCACTTGGCAAAACTGCAGCTTTGTATCCAGACGATGCTAGCTTTCTCCTCCCCTGCCCCAGCTCTCTGACAAGCACACGTTAGACCCTTTGTCTTTATGAATTTGGGAACTCTTCGATGTTCGTCTTTCTGTGCCGTGTTATTTCATTTAGCACTGATGTCTTCAGGATTCGTCCCATTACAGGATGTGCCAGCTTTTTTTTTTTAAAGGCCGAGTAATGTTCTACTGTCTGTGTTCGCCATTCTGTGTGTCCTTAATCTCCTCCTTTGTCAGCCAGTCCGTTCTCAGTGGCCAGCTGCTATGAATGTGCTGTTCTGTATGTGTGAGGTTGCAACATTGCACACTCCTTTGTCTAAACTCTCCAGTCCGGTGGGTTCCTCTTTCCCCCATGCTTGCTAAATAATACTACTTTCAAAATAGTTGAACTTTTTTCTTACTTTCTCAGCATGCTAGCATTTATGAGAATGGCCCTGACTGGGCCGGGGAGACAGAAGGAGGTGAACTTACACTTGCTCCTTATTTTCTCCCCCAGGGTTTGCAGTCACAGCTCAGGTAGATGAGCACCAGCATCTCAGCCGGATATTTATAAGCGATGTTCTCCCTGACAGCCTGGCGTACGAAGGAGGTCTGTGTAGCGCTGTGTCTGTGCACTCTGAGTTTCTAACTGGGAGGCTCTGCTTCATGAGGTTGCTTGTGGTTTTGTCAGATGATGTGGTTTCTCTGGGAGTTTTTGAATATTCATACAGATGTGTGTGTATGTGTGTAAAGAGAGTATTCATACAAATATGTGCACGTAAAGAGTTGTCATACAAATGTGTGTAAGGAGATTATTTATATAGATGTATGAATGTAAAGAAAGTATTCATTACATATAGGTGTAAAAAGATTATTCATACAGATGTGTGTGTAAAGACATTATTCATACAGCTGTGTGTATTTAAAGAGAGTTTCCATACAAATGTATATAAAGGGTGTATTCATACAGATGTGTGTGTGTGTGTGTAAAGAGAATATTCATACAGGTGTGTGTATGTGTGTGTGTGTATAAAGACAGTATTCATACACATGTGTGTATGTAAAAAGCATTCATACAAGTGTGTGTATAAAAAGAGTATTCATACATGGTGTGTGTGTGTGTAAAAAGAGTATTCATATAGATGTCCAGATAGAGGGAGGGAGAGAACTGTGAAACAGTGAGACCCAGAGAAAACAGCTGATTAGCAGTTCCCCAAATTATGTCAGCTTCAAAACAATCTGCTTAACACCAACTTGGAGCTGGGCTTTAGTTTAAACCGTACATAATGCTACATTTCCCACCTGGTCAGTGGTGAGCATTTACAGGCTGCTTTCCTCTTAACATTCATCTCCGTGATCTCTTCTCCCTCTTCCTCTTTTTTCCCTTCTTTGCTCTCAGGGCTAAGAAAGGGCAACGAAATCATGAGCTTAAATGGGGAAGCAGTGTCTGACCTTGACATCAAGCAGATGGAGGCTTTGTTTTCTGAGAAGAGCGTCGGACTCACACTAGTTGCCCGGCCTGTGGACGCAAGAACAACCCTGTGTACTTCCTGGTCAGACAGTGACCTGTTCTCCAGGGACCAGAAAAGTCTGCCACCCTCTCCCAGCCAGTCCCAACTGTTGGAGGAATTCCTGGATAACTTTAAAAAAACCTCCACAAGTGGTAAGGCTATGCTCCGTGTCTGTCTTGACCTGCTGATGCCAGTGGCCCATATTCTTGAGCTGCAGCTTTGATGGCAAGTCCAGATTGTACAAGCTACCGTGGTACAGTGAATTTTTTCTCACTTACTGAGACAAGAACAGAGATGCCAACTGGGATAGATTTATCAAGAGCCCGTGCATTTTAGCAATTAGAGAACCTTCCAAAAAAAATGAAAATAACTTTTTTTTTTCTTGGCACAAAACAATCTTTGAGAAAAACACAGGCTCTTTGAAAGGCATTCAGTGTCCAGTATTGCTGTTGTCTGTAATCGACTGCAGGCATTAGCCAGTATTGGAAGACTTTGTTTTTAGTTGGTTGCATCTAAGGTGAATCCGTTTTGCAGTGTTCTGTTTGGGTCCTGTCAGGAGGACTGGTCTCTAAGACACAGCAAACTTTGAATATACTTCATGGGCTGATTTCAGACCTTGCCAAGGCCTGTGGCTGAAGACTGCCGGTTTAGTTTCTTCCAAGTGAAATAGCTGTCTGAGGAGTCACATGGAGGTGACATTTTCTGAACTTAAGTTTCTACTTCTCCTGGCTGTTGTATTTGACTCAGAGGCTCGAGCTGAGTCCCTGTCACTTCCCTCCGTCCCCATGGAGAAGCCTCTGTTAGACTTCCTAGGAGCATAGAGTGAATCTTGATCCTGAGAACACCCGAGTTATCTATTTCACACCGTCCTAATGGATTTGTAATAAAAAATATTACAAATGTGTGCTGACTGAAAATGAACATGGAACACACAAGAGCGATCACCGATATGGGTTTACTGGCAAAGCTGACTGTGATTAAGCATCAGATTGTGGGATTTGTGATTCAGTAAGGTAGCTGATGTTTCCTCCTCCTTCCTCGGACTTTATTCCCATTTAAAATACTACAAGGTTGACTGCTGGCATAGAAAAGTGAGTGCCCTGGAACGGAAGTTAGGATGGAGCTAGCTAGTGATTGGTGATACTGGGAGCATCACTCAGCTTACCCTAGGCTGCTATTCTAAACCTGAGTGGCCCGTGTCATGTACCCGGTATTGAATAGATTGTCCTTGAGAGAGATTCTCTGCCAGTTATTCCTTTGTATTTTATAACAATAAGAAGTACTGCAGTCTGTAATATCTTTATGATCCAGGGGATGAATGAGCAACAGATGCAGGTTTACCTTTCTGCTTGTCCGTCGCTTTGTACAGTACTAGATTCTCGCCGTCATCCAGAGGGCATCCTGTGTCTGTGTGCACAGCAGACTCAGCGACACGAGGGTGTGGGAAACTCCTCTGCAGCTTTGTTGTTAGCAGCGGCCACCTGCCTGGGGTAGTGCAGACATCTCCTGGCACCTGCCCTGCATGGGCTTTCCCCTCCAGCTAAGCTAGAGTGTGCTGAGATTTAACTGTTTTCTCAGGCAGAGCACAGGCTTTTGGGCCCCAGGTCTAGGGTGCATCCAGTTGTTGTGTGTTCCATGGTAGTGTTGTAGGTATTTAATCTCAGTCGAGGGTTACTACCTTGCCTTTGGTTATTCAGTTCCTGGATAAAAGACACACAACTTTATATTTATAATAAGCCTTTAAGGCACTAGAGCTAGGTGGATATCTATGTTAGTGGTCTCTATCAATATCCCATAACTTGCCATGTTTCACCTGGGCTGCTCTTAACTCCAGTTGGCCAGCCCTCATGGCCATGTTTTTATGATTCACCTACCCCATGGTGTCTTCTCCTCTTTCCACCTTCTTCCTTTTCTTTCTCATGGTCTCTGCCACAGACCCCAACCCCAGGAATCCCCCCCCCCAATCTCTCTTCTTCCCAACTATAGCTCGGGTATCTTTATTCACCAATCAGGGATGACTTGTGGGACAAGGCTACATAGCATCACTTGGGTCTTCCTGCAGATTCTCTGGTCCCTAGGGGCAACCAGGCCTTGGAGGGGGGGGCAGCATTTAGCATTACAATACACAGCAAAAGACCAAACCCCAACGCACGTCAGGAGCCTGTGTGCCATGATAGGTTGCTTTTCCATACGCTTTGCAAAAGAGGATCTTTTCCCCCCTACTTTTTGAAGCATTGTGCTGCCTAAAGAGAACTGAGTGCTCGGGAAGTCTGAAGGTTAAGTGTAGGAATAAAGTCTGGGATGGGTGGGTAAGAAACTGAAAGAGAAGACAGAGCAAGTTTCTCATCGGGATATGATGTCTTGTTCACAAGAGGAGCTTGTGGTATGGGTATGTGGCCATCACACAGGTTCTGAGTCAGACCTTGATTTGAGGATTGGTTACTCTCGGGAGTAGCGTGTAGGCAGTGAGGTTGGGTCATGGAGGATGCTAATGTCTCTTGCAGAGACAATTCTGAGATGCATTCACACAGTTCTTGTAATGGTCCAGGAACTGGGTTGTAAGTGCGCACAGAAGCACTTTGCACCCCCCTCCTGGACCGTCTGGTTTTTTTCTGCTCATGTGACACTTTCCCAATAACTTCTGGTGGGTAGTCCTCTGCTCAAACTCTGCCTCTGCGAGAGCTTCCATGATGTCCCCAGCACTGGGATGGCCAGGATTCTAAGCTGGTGGCCCAGCTCCCCTTCCCTGTTGGTCCCAGCTTCCTCTTTAATTAGGACTTTGTTTAAAAGCCAGGTACAATGTCATTCACCTAAATGCACAGAATGCTGAGGCAAGAAACTGAATTCCAGGCCAGAGAGGGATACATAGTTTCAAAATAAACAATAATAACAACAATAAACTTACTTCCATTTGCTTTTACTGTGAACGAGAAATAATCCTGTCCTCTTATTATAAAATTAAATTTTATACAAATAAATATTTAAATAGTGTTGGAGAAGGGATTTTAATAGGACTTTGGGCTGTCCTTAGGAATGGTGACTTCAGTGTGTTTATTCATACTTGTCCCACTCGTGGACATTGCCAGAAGGCGCTGTGTATTTGGAAAGGAGGAAGGGGAGGTAAGGAAAGCCACGACCCTTTTCACAAAGCCTGTGCCTTCACCTACTGATGTTTCTGAAGGATAGGACTGACCTTTTAGAAAGGGGGAACTGGACAGATCATATGCAGAACAAGAAGAAAGCTGCATGTCGTTGTTGGGGCTGTCTGACCCTCTGAGGGAATGGATGGAGATGCCTTCCTGCTGAGGGTTGAAGGGAAAGGCCCTGGGAAAGACTGCATCTGGCTCTGGTCTATTTCTGGTTTTAGTTGAACAGCTAGACATCTACACGGGTCTCTCAGTTTGCCTCCAATCATAACAGAAATCGTTGTGTCTGACTGAAAGAAGTGTGGTCATAGCAGGGGATGAGGAGGGTCACAAAGAAGCTGTGAGGTGTCCTAACCGCTATTCTTGAAGAGGCATCATACTCATATTTGAGAGTTCTTGACAACTAGAATGTTTGGTGAAATGAGTCTCAGACTCACCTCCTGGGATCCCTGCAGACAGGATGGGGCCTGTGGCTGATCCATCTCAGGACCACAGGAGGACAGCCTCCTATGATTAGTGGGATCATTCCCCCTCGAGCACTCCTGAGCCAAGGTTCTGAGGATCCAGTGAAATAATATGTCACGTTCTTGTCAAATACAGCTGACATCTTGGGCAATGTCTGTCCTTCAGTTAAGGATTGAGCCCTGACCCACCACCATCCTTCAAAATGCTCTGGAAGCAGGTGATAATTATTAACACTCCTCCCTGGCTCATTTGACCTGCCCAGGGCACACTGATGCTATTAGCGTAGGATGCTGAGAGGAGTCTCCCAGCTGTCACCTTACTTTCATGACTTCGTCCCATAGCAGAAGCCACAGGGCCACAGTGTTAAAGTGGAGTGCCTTTGACTCCTAAGACGTGAATGGCTGTTTGATTTCTGCCTTACAGATTTGAATTTCTGTAATAGTTATCCATGCCAGGGAGAGGAAATGTCCACAGGCTATATTTGACTGCAGTGGAAATACTAGGAAAGACTTTTGAACAGAGAGGATTCATTTTATCACTGGAATTTCCCAAAGAGACCAGTGTTATTTTTGACCCAACAAGGCCACCATTGAAGGAGTTTGGGCATACCCAAGCTGTTTGTGCTCAGATCCTGTTAAATGCTGCTTTTGTGATTTATGCATGAAATTCCATTCTCTAGTGTTTGCTAGCTTTTGAGCAACCTCAGCAGCTTTATGGAAAGTCTCCTCAGGGTGCACAGTTTGTGAACGAAGTTTTTATGTAAACACCAGACTCCCCGTGGCATTAATGTTTCTCACACTAACAGCTGTTACTACGGCCTTGTGAGGGCCAGAGGTTCATTTAGCAGGAGGGAAACAGAGGCCAGGGCTCCTGCTACTTGGGCTTACAACCAGTACTTTCCAGACACAAAAGGTAGCTATGGCCAGAGGTGTTTGTGCTGCCTCAGCCCCAATCAAATCACTTCTTTTGAGTTGGTATCTGAGAGATGTAAATTTGTGTTCTCTCTCTGTCTCTCTCTGTCTCTCTGTCTCTCTGTCTCTCTGTCTCTCTCTCTCTCTGTGTGTGTGTGTGTGTGTGTGTGTGTGTGTGTGTGTGTGTGTGTATGAAAGGGTCTCACTATGTAGCCCTGGCTATCCTGGAGCTCACTATATAGACCAGGTTGGCCTTGAACTCACAGAGATCTACCTGCCTCTGCCTCTGAAGTACTGGGATTAAAAGCCTACACCACTATGCCCAGCTTGTAAATTGGTTCTTAAGAGTGGCTTGATCTTGGGATTATATCTGTCCACCATGCTGGAACCAGCTCCACTGTGCCAAGCCAACTTATGTCCTGTTTATGGAGGGGAAGCAGTTTGGCTTCCGTGTTAGGCTTTCAGCTTTCGAAGCCTTCGTGCAGTGACGTACTTCCTCCAACCAGGCGGCATCTCCTAAGTTTCTCCAAACTGTGCCACACACTGGGGATCCAGTGGAAATGTGAGAATGTAAATGTGAGAATGTAGAGGTATTGTTATTTTTTCATTAAAATCACCACAAATGGGCTT